TACTGCGGCAGGACACCTGAGATTGAAGAGACATACCCAAGGGAGATAACTCATGACCAGGGTAAGAACAAGATTAAAATCACAGAGACAAATCACTGATATAGGAAATCTTATTTCTTACAGAAAGGAAAAGAGAAGAGAATCACCGGCTAGACAGAATGAGATTCTCATCTCATATGTCATTATTTATAGACTAATATTAAAATGTTTTGTCTAAATCAGTGTGAAGAGCTTGCCCAAGGGGAGATCACTCATAAGAAGACAAGATTGAACATGCAAGATATTTAGTATTTCTACACGTTTGAGCTACATAAGTGCAACAGGAGTCTGTCAGCACTGTAAATAGGATGGGATTCAAATGGCTGGGTTCACTGACGGAAGTCATCGGGAACTGGTCAGAAATTCTTTAATGGCTTTTAATCCCATGAGGGAGGATACTTACTAAAACATACTCACTTTGTCTACATGGTCTGTATGAAATACTGGATAAAATGGTAATAAAAATCTCAACTGAAGAAATTATTCAAGGGAGATAATTCATAAACGGGGATAACTCAATCATACGATGACAGCATAGTAAAGTGAGGTGAGATTTCTCGGCGTCAAAGATAACCATGTAGGGTTAGCATCAGACTAGACAGACAAGGGAAGAAGTTTGTGTACTGGGTTTGATAAAGCTAAAAGTGATTCAACAGCTAAGGTTGGTAATGATGAAAATGAATTCAGGATTCATATCAAGTTACAAATATCTGCAAGTACTGTCATTTAATTCAACCATGTCCTTTTACAGACAGATACCTGGTATTAAGGTAAAAACATAGCTACCATGTCCTTTTAAGGACAGATACCTGGTATTAAGGTAAAATTAAAGCAACCATGTCCATTTAAGGACAGATACCTGGTATTAAGTTAAAATTAAAGCCACCATGTCCTTTTAAGGACAGATACCTGGTATTAAGGTAAAATTAAAGCCACCATGTCCTTTTAAGGACAGATACCTGGTATTAAGGTAAAATTAAAGCAACCATGTCTTTAACAGACAGGTACCTAGTATTAAGGTAAAAACATAGTTACCATGTCCTTTCAAGGAAAGATACCTAGTATTAAGGTAAAATTAAAGCAACCATGTCTTTGACAGACAGATACCTGGTATTAAGGTAAAGTCAAAGCCACCATGTCCTTCAATGGACAGATACCTGGTATTAAGGTAAAATCAATCACCATGTCCTTTTACAAACAGATACCTGGTATTAAGGTAAAATCAAAGCTACCATGTCCTTTAATGGACAGATACCTGGTATTAAGGTAAAATCAAAGCTACCATGTCCTTTAATGGACAGATACCTGGTATTAAAGTAAAATCAAAGCTACCATGTCCTTTAATGGACAGATACCTGGTATTAAGGTAAAATTTAAGCAACCATTTCCTTTAACAGACAGATACCTGGTATTAAGGTAAAATCAAAGCCACCATGTCCTTTTACAGACAGATACCTGGTATTAAGGTAAAATCAAAGCCACCATGTCTTTTACAGACAGATACCTGGTATTAAGGTAAAATCAAAGCTACCATGTCTTTACAGACAGATACCTGGTATTAAGGTAAAATCAAAGCTACCATGTCCTTTTAAGGACAGATACATGGTATTAAGGTAAAATCAAAGCCACCATGTCCTTTTAAGGACATATACTTGATATTAAGGTAAAATCAAAGCTACCATGTGCTTTTAAGGACAGATACCTGGTATTGAGGTAAAATCAAAGCTACCATGTCCTTTTAATCCCCAAAATAAGGTTAATCAATCGACAGGCCTCCATCTTGTATCTTGTTTACTGGGAAAGCTACCAGTTAGTACAATAAGAACCATACCTTAAGATGACTCTGGCTGTTGATAGATCAGATAGTAACAAACTTTCATTACCTACTCCATGGCTTTGACCTTACATAATTATGGGATAGACTGGCCCTATAACAGATTTACCAGTAAGGTATAACAGCCAAGACTAATCATCCTGTACTTTCTACACCTACATAAGTCCTTCCTTCACATTGGCGCTCAAAGACAACCACAACCAAATCAGCAGTTTGAACAACACCAACCAAGCCTTCATCTTGATCTGCTTGTCTATACAAGAAGCTTATATACATGTACAAGGTGCGATCAATGACTCGAAATCTGTTATATCAAAGATTAATATCCTGTCCTCAGTTGGCAGTCATCTGCTCTCTATACATACAGCCTAGTAACATAGCTAGCTATTGACTATAGGGAAATTCCTATCAGACAAACCTGTATCATGTACAGTAGATGTGTACCAAATATTACAGACCATGAGAGGTTTACTAATCATGGACTCTCCCTGTGTCATTGTACTGAGATACACCACAGTCAAACAATAGACTCCATTTTGATATTATCAATAATTGCCTGGTACTGTAATTCGAATTTATAAATGGCCATATAGAGCCTACCAATACACAGAGAAGAGTTATTCTCAAGGGAGACAACTTACACAATATATTGATTCATATATACAAACATTGGCAGAAAGCTACAGGGAACTGCAATATACCTTTGAGATATGGTTATAAACTTATCCCTCCACCTAGTGGTTGAATCTGATACAAACTGTCCCAAGGGAGGTAATTTAATATCTACCATAACAACACATAATATAAATGACCAACTGAGGTAATTCAATAAAGACAATAATTATATCAGAATCAATCTGTGTTGGAGGCTGTCATGATCTATTTGCCACATCGAAATATTAGATCACAGCTGATGGTGAGTAACCATAGTAATATTTCCACTATCCTGCCGCATCACATGTCAGTTTTGTTGCTAACACAATCTTTAGATGGATGTGTTACTTTATCGAAAATTTGTTGCTGATTCTCAAAATATTTCATCCAATCTCTGCCATAAATGAGTTTTTAAGCCCTAATTATGGACATTTATCAATCAATCGTGAATTTTACAGTAATTTCTGACAGATTTAAATCCTAGGTCATTAGCATCCATTCATGTACTCCATATTAGCTACAGTATTTAATCTATCTAGATTATATTCCAAGATTTATCTAAAAGTACCAGAAGCTCTACGATATCAGACTGTATTTGAACTGAACTTAGGCCTCCTTGTTAACACCTCCATCTAAGTCTTATGTATGATGGTGTCATACCCTTCTAACTTTTTTTTCATCTAGACAATATTTAGTGATACTTTTTGTCCTGTCAAAATATTGCCAGGTAATGATCCTTGTACAAATACAAATAAAAATCAAGAAAACAGTGACAGGTACATTAATCATCAAACCATTCTAAAATCAATTAATTGACTCGGATCGTAACTAGAAAACTGGTTAATCCACCATAAATATTCTGACCTTGACAGGATGACCTCTTGGTTAATCCAGGTCATAAACATCCAGATTATAGACACAGTGTATTTCTATGGTAACAACATTAATACAAATAACAGGCCAAACATATCAAATTGTGTGTTTAGTTTTCTAACCCAGAATTTTCATTACCTATTCTGATGTCCTGAACTGTTAAATAGCCTTTAATGTTCAAATCCATTTATGGTGTAAAATTATTTCATTTCATGAGTAGAATATATTGAAATAATTACACCACATTTTTTTCTTTTCTTTTAAAACAAACACCTATAACATATGACTGATTTAACAGATTTATCTGGCCTACAATCCTAAATCTCTGATAAATTGACCCAGTAAGGAATCTGTACAGTCCTGATTATTACACTGATCTACGAAGGGTTTTCTCTTTGACCCCTGACCTCTGATCCCTGAACCATGATTCCATCATTTATCACTATAGTTACATTATACACTTCACCATTCAGACATCTTTGATGGATATTGTTTCTGATTATTTGGAATTGCTGATTTAGAAGTCTATAATCCATAGCGACAAAGTGATAAACCCCTATCCATCATCTACTAACTTCCCTGTAGATTCCTACAAAACCATTTTTACAGCTTGGCTGAATATAAATCAAATTAAGTGCAGTAAGCTAAACAATTTTTTCCACTTACATCATGCATCCACACTGATACTGTCACATCAGTAATTCCTAATAATACTTACCTTTCCTGACTCTTCTGATATTATTTTTTGTCGCCATGACAACTTAAGTACTTGAAAGCTGTAATTAGAAAAACAGATAAATATTTTGTGGTCACTATGGAGGAATAAATGATAATGCTACACCTGAGTTATAGTACAATAAATTTGGTAAGGTACAACAGACATTTAGTCTATGACAACCTAAACACTACAGATATCTGTATAATGGTAGAATAGGTGACTAGATACAGCAGCCATTTTGAGGTTACTATGACAACCTAAACACTACAGATATCTGAATGCTGGTAGAATAGGTGACTAGATACAGCAGCCATTTTGTGGTTACTATGACAACCTAAACACTACAGATATCTGTATAAGGGTAAAATAGGTGACTAGATACAGCAGCCATTTTGTGGTTACTATGACAACCTAAACACTACAGATATCTGTATAAGGGTAAAATAGGTTGTTATAAATACATTTAATATAATCTATCATTGAAGGTCTATATTTGGTAAACAAAAGTATACCAATGTTGGCTTGTTCATTCCATCTATATGAAGCACAAGTCCCTTTAGCTATCAGCTATCTCACAGAATTACTTTACAACTTTGTACTAATTGACAAAATTAGATATTCATGAAAAATTCATTAACGACATTAAAATATCCATCAAGTAAACAATTATACCCAAATTATGATGATGATCGTCTCCATTAACTAATTACCGATTACACAGTAATGATTAGACGCCCAAATGTTATTTAACAAGGAAACTTTATTGTCATACACAAAAAAATGTTAGATTGAATTAGCTCAAGCAAGATGATTGACATGTCTCCTTTACAACAATCAGAGTGTAAAAAACATATAAATTCAAGCTAAATTTAGAAAAAAGAGATGCTATATCAGGCTGTTTATATCCTTGGAGGTGTGATGGGAGGATATCACCTCCTTGGAGGTGTGATGGGAGGATATCACATCCTTGGAGGTGTGATGGGAGGATATCACATCCTTGGAGGTGTGATGGGAGGATATCACATCCTTGAAGGTGTGATGGGAGGATATCACCTCCTTGGAGGTGTGATGGGAGGATATCACATCCTAGGAGGTGTGATGGGAGGATATCACATCCTTGGAGGCGTAATGGGAGGATATCACCTCCTTGGAGGTGTGATGGGAGGATATCACATCCTAGGAGGTGTGATGGGAGGATATCACATCCTTGGAGGTGTGATGGGAGGATATCACATCCTTGGAGGCGTGATGGGAGGATATTACCTCCTTGGAGGTGTGATGGGAGGATATCATCTCCTTGGAGGTGTGGGTGGAGGATATTACCTTCTTGGAGGTGTTATGGGAGGATATCACATCCTTGGAGGCGTGATGGGAGGATATTACCTCCTTGGAGGTGTGATGGGAGGATATCATCCCCTTTAGTTCACACATTTGGTTATGCGAGCTTCAGTCCTTACATCTGATGTCATTACTATGGCGGTCTTGAAATCCTAACTTCTGAAACTGACCAAAGATTACAAACTACACAAGTTTTCTTAATTTTATTTTCTACCTACAAAACTTCCAGTCTATCAACCATTGTTAAAGATGTGGCTGCCCCCAGGTGTAAAAGAGACAGCTAAGTTTACAATGCCTAATTAAGTCTGGAGAGTTCTCTAATAATACATAGTACAGGTATCTCTGTTAATCGGTTCCCTAGGTGTTACTCAATATCGGATTAGATTTGAATTACTTTGAATTCCCCTGAAGCAGAAATGATAACATCACATGATACGCCTAGTCATGATGACACCCACTTATGTGGTCACATGACAATGTGGTCACATGACTATTAGGTAATTAATTCTGTTTAGTATATAATTGAGATGAGAGATTGGACTAACTTCACCATTAAATAAGAGATTGGTATGTTGAATGACCAATGTCCACAATGAAATGAGTGTTAATGAGATGACCGCCTTTAGGACATTAAGATTTACTGGTCAATTGGTCAGTGTTAGCTACCTATGGCCCTCTGGACACCCATCAATGGTCAACAGTCATTGTAAAAGATTTTAGACACAGAGTCTGACGCTAAGCATGATCGAAGTTATCTGTCGCTTGGGACAGGACAGGAGCCCGAGGACCCACATCTTGTGGTCAATATAAGGGTATTATGGGTAATTACGAGTTACCATGGACATGTTAACCCAGCATTCAATCAAGACCTGTAATAACAGTAATTCCCAGTCGCGTGGTCGATCACCAACATAAAATTATGTACAACCTGGTCTGGTCAATGAGAAAAGGCGTCATAGCATGGTTAAACCGACGACAAAACACACCAATTTATATCATCAACACAGAATAATCAGGCATATTGTAAGACTGCCAGGTGTTAAAAGCACACACACTGCAGTCAGCATTGCTAATGATTTTTGACAACATACAGCCTCTCTTCAATTTGTAAACTTTACAAAAGTCCTTGAAATTTTATTATACAATTTCTTCTATTGATAGAAAAAATTCTGAAAGTCAGAAAATGAAAAGCAATTTCAGATAATAGAAGATTTTAAACAGCCATTACACACATGCATGCAAAGGTGAAGAAAACTGAAGAAAGGAGTGACAGGTGAAAATCAAATTTTAGGGACCCAGACAGGTATTATCTCAAATATTTATATGTCTTGGATGATTGAACTTCTGAATATTAAGTTGTGTTGGACAGACAGTTGGAAATTTTTTTATACATATGACAAAACAAAATATAAATGTGACAGGGTTGCTTAGGTCATTTGGTACTGGTGTCCATACCAGATATCAGCGCTAAGGGGCAATCAGTTTCTTAGGTCAAATTAAAATTTATACACTTATCAAAATTTCCTTCAAAATAAAAATGTATTATTTTTTTTTTAAGTTTCAAACTGGTAAATGTCACTTGCATGAAATTATTATGCTTAATAATTTTCTATACAATGAGTGAAATTTAAATTGCTAAATTGTAATTCTTGAACCAGAAAAAAATATGAATATTTGTCAACATTTCACCACTTTGGAGGACACCAATATTTTTACCCAAATTTTAGATGCAATATCTAAAAAAAATTGGTCTTAAAGTTCATTATTCATAATTTCAATATATCTGTAATTCGTTCAGCCAAAAAGTTTCATTCTACTTGCTGTGATCAGTCCAGTGAAGAAGTTTTTATCAATCTACTTTCCTGGGGTTGAGAGGGAAATTCCAAGAAGTTTGCAGGTATGTCTGTCTTACTTTTCATGTTAAGAAACATTGTCACATACAGTGAAACCTCATCTAACGACCACCTCAAAATTACGACCACCCCGCTATTACGGGCACTTTTTTTCAGTCCCGTTTTTTTCAACAGTATTACGACCACCCCGCTATTCCGTATTACGATCACTTCTCACAGTCCCAATGACCACTAATTAACGATAATTGACCTCACAATTACGACCAATTTCTGACCAGTGATTACAGTTTACCTGGTGGGCAGTGAACCGCGAGCATGTTTGTCGTTCTCGCCCATTGTTTTCGTCACGGGTTACCGAACCTGTCACCAGGTGGCGGTACACGAAGTAAACATAATTATCGGAATATGTGTGAACCTGCATGCCAGACACGTTTTAATAATACTATACTTATAATGTATCAATTAATCTTTGAAATTAAAGTAACAAATATGGACATATGTGCTATTTTTTATTTTTGCAGTCACGCTATAAATTATCAATTAATCTTTTTAAGAATACTATTTATTTTTTAAACTACAAAATGGTTGTGAAAGTAGAACTGTTTTCTGACAATTCTGTCCCAAACCCGGACACAGCAAAACATGACAACATCTGTCGATGGACATATGTGCTAGGTGTAAATGGAAAGACCTGCGTATTTTTGCAATCACACGATACATTATCAATTAATATTTTCAATAATATTATTTATTTTTCAAACTACAAAATGGTTGTGAAAGTAGTACTTTTTTCTGACAATTCTGTCCCAAACCCGGAGACAGCAAAACATGACAACATCTGTCGATGGAATCATTTACTTTTCAAACACGACACAATTGTTGTGGACCTTGTTATCAGAAAGATATAATCCGTCTGTCAGTTTAATAACGATAATATTTGTCCTTCCTGAGCAATACTGTTGATCTATTCTTTAATTACACTGGTGTAGACAATCCACATCGCTTAACATCCCGATTTTCTAATAAACATTATGCTTACGTTTCTTCGGGACCGATTTCTCCGCCACTGAAATGGACAATTTCCGGCTGACGTCACCGCTGTGTTAGTTCCGAGTTCTGGCGATGAATGACGTTATTTCTATATAAACAGCTATTTGTATTTATAAAAAAAATCAAGAAAAATCTAAATGTTGTTGTACATGTGTATTGCAAGAAAAAAATGGTATTCAAACTATTTCAGGGACGCGGACATGCCAATATTTACTGCAATAGTCAAATTAAGAGTTTTTTTTTTTTAAATAACACATATATACACTGGACGTACAACCAATATATAAGTCGTATGTATATGGATTGTTTTGATTTAATCACGGACTTAGAACATATGGAAATGAGTTAAGTCCTATAATTGCCAACCAAACTACGAATGTAATTCACAATATGCAAATTGAAGATCGACATCAATATTTCGACATTTTATAAATATTTTCTCAACTTCTTTAAGACGATGTACTTTTGATGTACTCTGTGACACTGTACTTTTGATGTACTTTATGACGTCAAAGTGCTTGAAATTGACAATTTGGGAGATTTCTATTACTTTTTCCAACGTTTTGATTTTGATGTGAAACCAGCACATGGTTGAAATGTTCGGCTTAGGAGTTAAAGTTTACAATGTACTGCCATGTACTGTAATGTGATTGTACAAATGTAATTAGGATGTTACCAAAGAATTAGAGCGATCTTTTATGCGTGTTTCCCATATATCCTAGATGTGCCCTTTCACTTCACTAATCCCGAAAGGCAGCTACAATTTATCTTATAATTTCAGGAAAAGAAACCATAAAATCTGTATGCATGTTCTCCGAAAGGATAGTTTCTAGATTTTACGTTGATATTTCCGCTGTGAACCCTAATTTGTACAATATTGGACTGATAAGATTCAAGATGGCCGACCGTTGATTGATTGACGGACATCATAATTTCACTGGTAGAAAATATATAGACTCTTCATCAATTTTCAGACTGAAAACTGCAAGATGGCCTACAATTGGCCATCTCTTGTACATGTCAGATAGTTTCGAAAACTGAACTGTACATATTATCATAAAACAAAATCTCTCTACCGAGCTTAGCAACAATAACAGTTTTTTTTCAATTAAAAAATTTCATTTAGATCAGATGATACATTCACGGCCGTGTCCTAAAACATTTTCACAGCTCAGAAATGTGTTATAATTCAGCCTGTAATTTTTTTCCCCGCAACATTTAAAATTAAATCAATGCTAACGTGTATCTGTAGATATATCTGCCGATAAACAAAGAACAGACGACAGAAAACATACAAATCTTTTTGAAAAGTCTAGTTTCTCCAATGACCTTTCATTAGAAAACGTGTGTGTCTATATTCTGTAGATGGTTTACACATTACGTGTAGTGGCAAAACGTTTCTTTAATGTTAAAGTGCTTTAAAATGCTGAAAAGTTTGATTTTAGCAAGAATTAGTCATAAGTGGCAGTGTATGTTGACCTTGACTGTAAATGCAATGGTTTACAGCGGAAACATAGTGACATTGATGTAACCTTGGTGACAAGCTTACATCGAAAAGCAATTGTCTTTCGGCCTTTAAACAATTTCTGTGCCAGGGTTTGGAATCGCTACTATGAATTTATCAACGGTGTTATTTGCAAAACGCGAACTAATGTGTGTTATTTTGTTCCTTAATCTTTACATTCATTTTATTTAAGAGACATGTGTAGAATCCATTTTCGATGTCAAGAACTCAAGAACAGATATACAAGGCTTCTTGCAATGGCCAACTGCATCCACGTGCATCCAAGAGGGCTGGCATGATTTTTTTCCTTTTTTCATTTCAATTTTCCTAAAATGAGTCAACAATAAATCACATACTAAAACGAGATACAACGACTCTTGATCATATCACTGATCAAATTGTCATATTTCACCACCGATAAAAATGATGGACTCAAAACCGGAAATGAACGGGTTTTAATCCCTGTTATTGTGTTTTGCGATAACATTTCAGCCTCGATATCACTTGAGACTATCGACAAATGAATACCAGAATCGATGTTTCTTTAGAAGTCTTTAAGTTAAGGCCTCACATCAAAATTACGAAGCAGAAAATGTTTCACGATTGTTATTGTGTAGCTGATCGTAAATAGGAATATTCTACAGACAACTCTCGAGTTCTGTGCTGTCTTTTATGAC